GCCGGCGGGATGTTTGCCAAACCCTGCCTGTGAGCTGTAATCCAGGGCACAGGCAGAAATGAATTGGGAGCAGAGCTCAGCATATGGATGGCCGATTAGCGGACCCAGCAACCTGCGGCAGCTTGCATACCATCAGTCCTCCGACCAGCTTTGCGAGCAAATTAGGTTTCCTGGCAAGGGGAGCCCGGGCACCCCATCTTGCTGCTGCTCTCTCCAACCCCACGACACCCTGCCCGGGTACTTGCTGAATTCAGGCACTTGCGGATTCAGGCACTGGGCGCAGGGGCCGAGGCTGAGAGCTCGTGCTCTGTTGCACAGTGCCGGCCAATGTTTGCTTTTTGTGCAACACCCTGATGTCGCTGACTCCTGCTCCACCACCGTGTCCTCTCGCACAGTGTCTCTGAGCTGTCCCCAGGCATGGCAAAAGAGGGCCCCTGCTCAGCTCGGGGCTCTGCGCTGCTGCACGGCATCCCTCCTTCCTCCTGGCCCCCCCGATGCAACAGGCACCGGGGCAGCCTCCCTGCCCTGCCTCTGCCTGTCCCTCTGCTGCTGCCAGGGCAAAGGGCCCTTCGTGCGCACGTAGGGTGGGCTGAGCCCTGCCCGAGCCCGCCCGCCGCTGGCCCCTGCCTGCCCGAGCCCGCCCGCCGCTGCCCCCTGCCAACACTTTGCCCAGCTGCTGGGCAGGGGTGAGCGGGAGAGGCTGTGGCCCTGGGCAGGAGGGCAGAGCCAGGCTTGCTGCCCAGACGGGGACCCAGAGCCCTGGCTCTCCGGGAAGCACACAGTACAGCGGCCACCACGTGCCAGGCATGGGGACGGGGAAAGCCTCACTCGCCTGCGGTGCCAGAGAGAGCTGGGTGGGCAGTACAGCAGGGTCCCACTGCAGTCATGAGCCTCCCTGTCTCTCTTCTTTCTCCAGCTGAATATCCTGGTGGACACAGGGAGCAGTAACTTTGCTGTGGGAGCTGCGCCTCACCCCTTCCTCCGGAGATACTACCAGCGGCAGCTGTGAGTACGCTGGGGGGACGCAGAGAACACAACCACCGCTCCGCGTGCCCGTGACGCAGCCCTGGCCCCACTGAGGCATGCCTTCCCTTCTTGCTGGGGGTCCGGCCAGACCCTGCCAGGTACCGCCAGCCTCCAGGTCTGCATGGTCCCTCTGTGCCTGGAGAAGGAGGGACCCCTCGGCCGGCTGTTCGCCCTCCCAGAACATTTAAGACTGTGTCTGGGCCGCTGGCCGTTGTGCACAGCAAACAACCACTGGGCTTGTCCCCCACGTGCCCCGTGACAGCCTTGGCCCAGGCTGCAAGAAGCCGTCCTGGTGTTTCACCAACCCGTGGTGGGGCTCCCCAACAGCCGTGTGTGCGGAGGAACGCGCTGTCCTTGCCCAACCACGCCAGTCTGCGGGACAGGCACGCCTCTGCGCTTGCAAATGCTCGGCTATGCATGCGTGTGCTCCCACCGTCACCCAGCGTGTGGGCACCCACTCCTCCTCCACACCGGTCTTACTCTGGCTCTTTGACGCCGTTGCAGGTCCAGCACCTACCGTGACCTGCGGAAGGGTGTGTATGTGCCCTACACCCAGGGCAAGTGGGAAGGGGAACTGGGCACCGACCTTGTCACCATCCCCCATGGCCCCAACGTCACCGTCAGAGCTAACATCGCTGCCATCACGGAGTCGGACAAATTCTTCATCAACGGCTCTAACTGGGAAGGGATCCTGGGGCTGGCATACGCTGAGATCGCCCGGGTGAGTCCTGCCTTGCAGCCGGCCGGGCCCCAGCTCTGCCTGGCCCTGCCAGCAGACGTGGGCTGCCCCCGGAGGTTTAAGTGGCCTCTTCCCCTGCCTCCACTCGGTCCCCTGGGGCCCAGCTTGCAGCTGTGCTGGTCACCTTGAGCCCTGCTCCCACAGCACGCAGAGCCAGGATCCCTGGGGCACAGCGGTCCTGGCAAGGGGAGCTCCCCCGGGCACGGAGAGCCCCTGGAGAA